GGAGTGAGCTGGAGATCCAATGTGACTTCTTTTCCACCAGAAGATCCGATGGAGCACAGGAGGATGGTTCCTGCCAGCCTGAGGCTGCTGCCTTGCCTCTCACTGCTCAGCCCAGCCAGGCCTGTTCTGAGCCTGGGTCGGCTAACACCACTACCTGTCCATGTAGCTTTGCGGTAGCCCTTGGTGATGACCTCCTGTTTCTTTATTTCTAATTTCGCACAGATACTCAGTTCCTGGAATCCCCTCCCTAGACTGTAAGACGAGGGTAGCTGAGGTCCCTGGGCTCTCAGCCTTTGTGCCAGCACCTGAGGTCTTCCGATCACCAGCCCACACCACATTGTGCCACAGGTGGGCTTCGTAGGGCCCGGGTGGCCAGGTTATAAGGATGCGGAAGATGTGTGCGTGGGGGGGCCCACTTTGTTTTTCTCTCTAGCACCCCTTCCCTCCCCCAAGAGTGGGAAACTCTTCTTTGGGGACTCCCATCCTGGAATGCATTCTTGGTGTGACCAGGGAGTGGAGCTGGCCCCTGTCTCCAGACCCTGTCCTTCTCCCCAGAGATGGGCATGGGGCTAAGTGGGGTCCTCTGGAACCTTTCTTCCTCCACTGGGGCAGAGTGATCAATACCCCACAGAAGGCATGCGTGGCAGGCAACTCTGCTCCCGAGCCTTAACCCAGCTGCTGCGGGTCAGTCCTCTCTGACTGCTGGTCTTCAGCCCCCCACAGCCCTGGCCCTGTGGCTCCCTGACCTCACACCTGGTCCCCGGGCCAGACAGACAGAGGCTCCCTGTGTCCCGGTGGCTGTCTTGGCATGCCCGGACCTCTCTGTCCAGTGTCTCCGGTGCAGGGAGGGCTGCTGAGGGCTGTCAGAGGGTTGGTGAACAGAATGTCCACCACCTGCCAGCCTCAGCACAGGGGACAACTGTCCTGGCAGGAGAGCAGCTCACCCCCTGTGCTGTTGCAGAGGGTGTCATGCTGGCATCACTGGGACCCATCCCTGCCATAGGGAAGAAAGGCTGTCGCCCCCCACCCAGCACAGTGGTACCTGGAGGTGTGTTTGAGGGGAACCCCCTTCGGACACTCCTCTGGATCCTCCCATCTACCCATGCAACCCTGTCCTCATATCCTGGGCAGGGTGCAGCCCGCCCCCAGTTGTATCACCCCACTCCAGGCCACCAAACTGCCTGCCCGCTTGGCTGACATCTTCGGCTCACACCCTGCCAGCCTGGGAGGGACATGGAAGCAGCAGCTCCCACCCTCTCAACTACTGCCAGTGTCCCACGTGATGAAGGCGAAGGGACCCTGTGCTCCCAGCCCAATGCCCTGGCCTCAGCAGCCCATGCCCTTAGGGGCGGCCACTCTCTGCCGTCCGGTTCAGGGTCTGCATGACTCACAAGTGCTTGGTGTCTAAGTCTCCAGATCCCACCCAGCCCGGCCTCAGACAAAGAAGAGCCTGAACCCTAAGTCCTGCTGGGAGGAGGGATGCATCTGGGGCCCAGGACATGGGTCACCTGGCCAGCGGTCCTGAGAGAGAGCCCAGTCCCAAGTCTCCTGTCTGAGGTCCACGCAGTGATCAGGCTGCCCTAATGGGGGGGGACACTCACGGCAGCTCTGTGAGTTTAGGGGGTTCTCAGAAAGGGAGTGCCTTTCTGAGGGCAAATTGTGCCTCTGGTGCCTCTGGTGCCCATGGCTTTGAAGGACAGTTAGGAGTTTGCCAGACAAAGAAGAGCTCCAGCATTTCAGAGGGAAGAGTAGCAGGTGGAGGAGTAGCAAGCCAGGGAACAGCTCAGGCACACTCTGGAAAGGAAGGAAGCATGGGAGCCTGGGGGTCCTGAGGCTTTGGTGGGCCCGCCTGCTGGAAAGGCCCCCAGGAACACCCCCCCCCCCGCCATCCATCCTTGCTCCATCTGGAGCAATTTCCAGACACAGGAATGAAACAGTGAAACCTTCTGATTGGTGCATGACAACATGTCATGGGACCCCCTGCACCTTGTGTTTCAGGGTCCCTGAACAAAGGCAAAACCCCAGGTTCAAGGCCATCACTCCATGGCAGCAGAGCCCCTGTGCCCGGTCCCCAAGCCCCCTCCCCCAACCTTCCCTCCCCCACCCAAGCAGTCACTATTGGATGATGCGCACCTGAACAGCTTGTAGATGATGCCCTAGAACTCCACGCCCATGAGCCCCACATCTCAGGACCTCACCTGTGACTCTGGCAAGGGCCTAGGGAGGGCCTGGGGATGGAGGGGGGGTTACTCCCACCACAGGGCTCGAAGTGGGAGACCCTTCTCCCCCAGGCCTGGATCCTTCCCAGGAGACAGTCATCAGACATGGGCCACTGGCTGCAGACCCCTCTGTCCCCTGAGACTCTCCTGTGCTCTGCCCTGGGAGGAAGAGCTAGCTGCCAGTTGATCCCCCTGCAGCAGCCCCAATCATGCCCAAGGCAGGGCCTGAGTAGCATCCCCCTTCTCACCTGTTGGGCGTGAGGGAGTATAAGGGGCAAGGGGCTGACCCACGGGAATGGGAACCCATTCAGGAAGGGGGTCAATGATCCAGCATGACTGTGTGGGTGTAGAGGGCAAAGGACCACAATCTCACCTGGGGGTACCCCCACTGAGGGCTAACCCCAGTCACCATGGCAGGGCCTCCAGCATCATCTTGTCCAAGTCTTCACTGTCCACAGGGGCACACACAGAGACGCAGGCCACTGCCAGACCCAGACTAAGGCCTCATATCACCACACCTGCCCCCATGCAGGCTGCCCCCCCCAACTCCAAATGCCATGAGGGATCCTTACAGGCTTGCCTGTGCTGGGGGCCACTGACACGGCCACACACACTGGCCTGGACACGTGCAGGATTATGTGCACACAGGGGACCTGGGCTAGAGGGTCTGCTTCTGCTTAGGCAGGTGGTTTCATCCGGCAGGCGTCCTGCAAGGACCCAAGTGTACAGTGGGGTGCACACCACCTGTGGGCACAGGGGCACACTTGTGCACACACGCTCCCACATGCACGTGCACAAACGCATCAGCCTCGATGCACAGTGCCACAGCCAGGCTACCTCGTCTATCCTCTTAGTGACAGAGAAGACCAGCGTGGCTTAATGACATCTGTGATGCAGGAGGAGGTAAGTGTTAGGGCTGCCCTGGGGTGGTGTAGGGGGCACTGGTCCAGCAGGAGGATCTCATGGCCCTCGCTGTGGTCTGGCATCTCCAGCCCCTGGTCCCACAAATATGCATGTGGGGGGCCCGCCCTACACCCAGAAAGCTCTTCCTGTGGTGAGGCCTAGCCTATGGTCTGACCTTGGGCCTGTGGGCCTCCATCCACACGGCTCCTGTCCCCTGTCCTGAGGCCCTGCCCATGCCAGGAGCCCCTAGCTCCTGCTTCACTCACGACGGGAGGGCCCTGCCGAGGTTGAGGGTCGCATGCAGGTAGTCAGGAGCGGTGGGAGCATGGGGCCTCGTTGGCAGAGGACAGAGACAGTGGTTGTGGAGGCAGGCATGCCCAGGAGAGGCACCTTGGCCTCACTCCGACCACTTTGGCGTTTCTTTCTTTTTTTTTTTTTTTTAAAGATTTTATTTATTTATTTGGCAGAGAGATACAGAGAGAGAACAAGTAGGCAGAGAGGCAGGCAGAGGGAGAGGGAGAAGCAAGCTCCCCGCCGAGCAGGGAGCCCAATGCGGGGCTCGATCCCAGGACCCTGGGACCACGACCTGAGCCGAAGGCAGCCGCTCAACCGACTGAGCCACCCAGGCGCCCCACTTTGGCGTTTCTTATCCATGACACAGGTTTCCCTAGTCAGACCAGAGGCTGGCAGGACCTTGAGGGAACCCTACTGCTTGCCCTTCCTCCCTGGAAGCAGGGGGTCCTGGAAGGTGGCCTGTGGGGGCCAAGGGCAGGGGCTATCCCTCTTCACCACCAGCTTGTGCCCAAGGCCCTCTCCCAGCTCCCTTCTCTCTTGCCCAGGCCTTAGAGGGCACCTGACAGTCTGTGACCCACATGTCTATCCACCTGACTGCCTCCCACACAATCAATGGAAACTGCTCCAAATGCAGCTCGGCCCAACAGCTCCCAGAATCACCTCAGGAAGTGACACCCATATTCTTCCAGGGACTCAGCTGAGCCCCCGTGACCCTGGATGCCTCTGTCTCCCCGCAATCATCCTGGTGAGGCAGAACCCATCCCTCCTGCCCCCGCATGGTGCAGACACCTGCAGACCCCTCCCTGGTCTCTGGACTCCCACCCCTGCAGGCACAAGGACCAACCGCTGCAGGCCCGCCCTTTCTGCCCCAGGGGAGTGTCCTCCTTAAAGTCTTTTCCTCCTTAGATGTGTTCCCCCATTTCCCCTCTGAGCTCTCACCGCTCCCACCTCCTCTCCCTGTTAGGTGGCCCATTCTTCGCACTCACTAACAAACTGCTGGCACCTTCTATGCATCCATGTTCGGAGCCCCCACCCCCAGGACATGAGTCCCACTGGGCAGGGGGGACTCAGTGATCGAGGGTTAAATGTCCAAATCCACGAGGCAGGGACCATCATCCACGGGAAGGGACCCTTGCCCGCTGGGAGGAGGCCCTTAACTACAGGGAGGGACCTCCATCCACAGGGAGGGACCCACGTCCACGGGCAGGAGTCCTCTCTCCTGGTTCACGCTCCTGTCCCGAGGGACGAGGGAAAGGGGAAGGCACCGTGTTCCTGACTGCGACCAGGGGCCGGGCCGGGGGTCTGCTCAGGGATGCTGAGGCGTCAGGCTGAGGAAGCCGGCCCGCGCTCCCTCCCGCGGCCCCGGGGCCAAGCTCCGAGCCCCGCCTGCACGACGCCCCGCCCCCCGGCGCCGTCCCCCGGCACCGCCCACCGAGCTGGCCCGGCCGGGGGCAGGGCAGGGGAAGAGACCGCGCTTACGGGCGGCCCCGCTCGCGGCCCCGCCTCCAGACGTCGCAGCACGTGACCAGCGTTCCCTGGCCCCGCCCCCCCCGCGCACACACGCACCCTACTTCGCGCACGCGCAGGACGCGCCGGTTTGGTGGAGCCCATGGCGTCCGAGCGACTCTCGAGCCGGCCTGCCTGCCTCCTCGTGGCCAGCGGCGCCGCAGAGGGTGAGGCTCGCGGGGACCGGCTGGCGTCCAGCGGCGCCGGGACCCGAGCGGTTCGCTCTTGCGCCGCTTCAGGGAAGCAGGTGGAAGCCCCTCCTTGGGAAGGGAGCGCTGCCGGTGTCCCTGGCCTGGCCCGGGTCCCCAGGCCACACCGGAGCGCGGGGGCCCTGGCCTGCTGCAGGGGGGACCCGGAGCCCGGCGTTTCTGTGGGAGGAGAGCGGGTCCCGGGATGGCGCCCGCGGGTGCCGCCTCGGGGGCATGAGGTGCTGGAGTCTGGGGGCCTCCGTGCGTCACGTGCCGGGGCTTGCTGTGCAGGGCGGTGGGCTGTCCGAGGAGCTGCGGGGGACGGCCTGGGTTCCGGCGCGCCTGGGCGTTAGGCGGCCAGCGGGTGGGACCATGGGCCTTTCCGAGCAGGTGCGCCGTGAGCCTGTGGCCAGGGGGCTGAGGGGCTGGAGAAGGGACTGTTCTGGGGGCGGAGATGTGCAGAGGCGGAGAACCCCTCAGTCCTGCCGTGTGAGGTGTGTACCGGGAGAGCTTGGCGTGGGGCTGCGGCAGGGCAGCACGGCTGGTGGTGGGGTCCGCCTTACCGGCGCAGATTCTCGCTCAGGGCCAGCGGGAAGGGATGAACGACGAGCTGGAAGGCACCTGACTGCCCTGAGCACTTTCCAGGTCCTCTCCTGTGCTTTCTTTTGTCAGAGGGAAGTGATGAGCCCAAGGTCACATAGTGGAGCACCCAGGGCTGGGACCTGGGGTCTGGTTCTGGAGCCTGGTCTCCTTGAACTCTAGCCTCCCAAGTGGACAAGGGAGGGAGGATTGCAGGTCGAGGAGTCACTGTGTGCTGAGCCCCGGGGGCCCTAAGCGCTGCGCCCAGCGTGGGTGGAAGGAGCCATCAGGAGTGGGGCTCAGTCCTGGAGAGGCGGGCTGGGGTTACCAGAGGTGGCTGGTTGGATGAAGAGGGGTTGACTGGCGTGGCTGTGCCCTGGGGAGGGGACACAGCTCTGAAAAGGCCACTAGGGCACTGTAGGCAAGAGGGGGCCCTCCAGAGACCTTTGAGGAGGGGTGAAGCCGTGTTGAAGGAACGGAGGGCAGAATCAGGCAAAGTCTGGGGGATGATTTGTAGGTGTGCTGTCTTTGCTCAATGCATGCAGTCTGTGTAATACCCATTAACACGTGAGGGTGAATAAAGATGAAGATGAGGTTTAGGAATTGGGTCCAGGATTAACATAAAAGTGGAGGGATGCACACCGAGCCTGTTTAGAAGCAGATATCCTTGGTGGGGCCACAGCCCCCAACAACTAAGAATCTTTTGGACTGGAAATGGGCAGAAGAGGGCTGTGAGCAGCACTGGGGATGGGGGCAGGGTCCAGGAGCCTTGTGAGCAGAGGCCAAGTGTCCTAAAGCGGGGATGAGGGTGGGGCCGGCTCGTGGGGATGGGGGGCGGGGCGGGATGCACCCATGTTCTTGCTGACACTTTCCGCAGCCCCACATCTGAGGACACAGACCTTGCTCACTGTGGCCTCTCCCTGGCTGAATGCTGGGGGTGGGAGTGGGCTTGGTCACTGGTGGTTCAGTGAGTGAGTGGGGGGACCTTGCACTTGGGTTTGCCTTCTGGAGAGGCTTGTAGTGGCCAGCCTGGGGAGCGAGCGCATCCTGCGGGGGGGTGGGGCCTGTGGGCTGGGGCTGTTGCCCCAGGACGGTGAGGTGGGCCTTGGGTGAGGGCAGACTCCAGGCTGGAACGAGGACAGTTGTGCCCTGCAGCCCCTCTTCCTGCCCACAGAGCCCAGCAGCGGCCTTTTTAGAGCTGTGTTCATGTTGCAGGTGTGTCTGCCCAGTCCTTCCTCCACTGTTTCTCGCTGGCCAGCGCCACCTTCAACCTGCAGGTGGCCACCCCTGGGGTGAGTCAGCCAGACTCATGGGGTCTGTATGTTTTTGGGGGCGAGGCTTGGAAGAGTGCTGTCACTCCCTGGGAGGAGCAGGGAGCCTGAGGCTGGTGTGACCCCAAGAGAGGTGGCAGGGCTGAGGGTTAGGTCCCTGGTGGCATCATCAAGCTCAGGTCCCTGTTTCCTGGGCTCTGGCCCCACTTGTGGCAAGGGAGACCTTTCGTCATGGGTCAGCACCTGCATATAGGAGCAAGGGTGGCACACACCTTCCACCAGGAGTTCTCTGGCGTGGCACCTGGAGGTCATGGCAGCGATGGGTTACATGTTGGTCACTTTGCTTGTGTTGTCATTCCCCAAGGGGACAGTAGCTCCACTTTATAGGTGGGAGACAGAGGCCCGCAGGGGGCAGCTGGGGGTGGGTTGTGGCACGGCTCGGTGAGGGGGCTGGGCTGTGCCCGAGCTCTTGTCAGCCTTTCAAGCCCCCGTGAGCCAACAGTGGGGTGTCCGCCCCTGGCCTGCAGCCTCTGGTGCTCTTACAGGGGAAGGCCATGGACTTCGTGGACGTGAATGAGAGCAATGCCCGCTGGGTGCAGGATTTCCGCCTCAAGGCATATGCCAGCCCTGCCAAGCTGGAGTCCATTGATGGTGAGGGGTCCAGGGGGCTGAGACCTTGGGGCTTTGGGTTGTGGGGGTTCCAGGTGGGTTTGTGGCCTCCAGAGCGCTCCCGTCTGCTTCTGATGCACTCAGGGCTTGCCACGAAGTGCTGTGACTGTCCAGGGCAGCATCCAGTCCCGAATCCTGGGCCCAGAGTTCTCTGTCTAGGGGAGAGAGGTGGCTGCACAGGGAGACACAGAAAAGGCAGGGTTGGCTTGTGGGTCTCGGGAGCCTTAGCCCGTGTGGGGAGAAATGACAAATGATGGCAACTGGCTGGTCTTCGTGGGGGGCTGGTCCCAGCCAGCAACCTTGCTCTCTCTAACTGACCTGCCTGTGATCTCCCTGCAGGTGCCAGGTACCACGCCCTCCTGATTCCCAGCTGTCCCGGGGCGCTGGCCGACCTGGCCAGCAGTGGCTCCCTGGCCCGCATTCTCCAGCATTTCCGCTCAGAGAGCAGTAAGTGACCTGTGGGACTGGGGTGTGGATAGGGGCTTTGTAGGTTCATGAGAAATGGGGCTCAACCAGCAGCCAGGGGAGGCCAGAGGGGATGTTTCAGGGCCCAGACAGGGCAGATATGAAGAGCCTCTGATTTGGGACCTGGAGGGCACGGGTGCACACATTTGAGGTGGGGCACCCCTCAGGTCGCTGCCCCCGGGTGCACTCTGCCTGCCTTCCGTGGGGGCTGGTGGCTGCCCACCCCCCAACTCCCTCTGAGGTGGGCGGGCAACATGCTGGCTTGTTCTTCGTGGGCTTCAGGGTTTGAGGCCAGCAGGGGCTGTGGAGATGTGGCGCGCTGCCTGGGCCTGACTTAGGGCTGTGCCGGGCATGTTGGCGGGACGGGGACAAGATGCTTATTAGGGACCAATGGACAGAAACCCAGGGGCTCCACACAGTGTCCTTTGTTAGTGGGAACAGGGCCTCCGTTTCCAGCACGGTCTGGACAGAGAGTCATTGTTCCCGGCCGCCGCCGCCACCGTGGGAATGGTAGGGCCGGGGCACTGGAGGGACAGTGGAAGGACAGGAGGAGCGACGGGAGGGTGTTCACAGATGGGCTGCCCGCGTGCGGGTGCAGGCTGTGTGCTGGGACGTTTGCAACACTGCAGGTCACGCCAGGGTCTGTGGGTGTGGTGCGCTCCAGGGCTTGGTCACTGGGCCTGCCACACCCTCATGCCTGCTTGTGTCTGTGTTTTGGCCACCAAAGATTTGAAACGGCTGTGAACCAAGCCTAGTCCTGGAGCTGACTGTATGGGGAGGGAGCTCTGAGGCGGGAGGTGTCGGGAGAGGGGCAGCGGCCCCGGTGGTGTCCAGGGCCTCAGCCCTGCCCGTGCTTTCAGAGCCCATCTGTGCGGTTGGCCACGGCGTCGCAGCCCTGTGCTGTGCTACCAACGAGGACCGATCCTGGGTCTTCCAAGGCTACAGCGTCACAGGGGTGAGTGTCGTGCAAGGGAGGGTCCCAGGCTGTAGACAGGCGTCAGAGACCTGCATACGTGCTTGAAAGCTCAGGGACTGTCCCCTCTGGCAGGGTGACGGTCACTTGCCCAGACCAGGATCACGGAGAATGCTGGCACCAGGCTGACAGTTGTGCTCTCCCCTCCCCTCCCCTGCTGATATCCAGGATGGCCCCAAGGCACGGCCCGTGCTCTGGATGTGGGGAGGGAAGCACAGCTGGGGCTCTTGATAGGGTAGGAGGCAACTTTGGGGTAACTGGGAAGGAGCTGGGGTCGGGTTGAGACGTGACTTTTGTGCATGTCATGTGCACGACACCCTTCGGGGCCAGGAAGTTTGGGTGCAGGGCCTGGAGTTAGGGAGAAAGACCTAGCTGGACAGGGGGCCAGAGGGAGGGTCTAAACTGCGAGGACTTGGGCTGCATGGGGCCAGCCTGGCGGGTGGTGCAGGGGGCAGGCCGGCGGGGGGAGGAGAGCTGCAGGGGCACCACGGGGCAGCTGTAGCCACACCACCCCCCTCCTGGGGCTCTGTGCCCTGCTGTTCTGCCCATTGCCCACTGGGGGCCTCGGCCCTGAGGCCACCTGCCAGGCTCGCTTACTAGCCCTGATGCTAGGGGAGGGGCGACCGTGGAGGCCACGGTGCCCTTACCTGGGGGCGGGAACCCCTATCCCCCACAGCCCTCCGTGTATGAGCTCGTCAGGGCGCCTGGCTTTGCCCGCCTGCCCCTCATCGTGGAGGACTTTGTGAAGGACGCGGGCGCCAGCTTCAGTGGTGAGCCAGGGGTGGGGGACACTGGCCAGGGGCTGCGGCTCAGACCTGGGCAGGCTGCCTGGAGCTCTGGGGGCCCCTGGGAGGGAATGGGGGCTGGTTGTCAGGGTGTGCCTGGCCTGTGACCCTGTCTGAGGCCCGCGCCCTTGGGACTTCCTGCAGCCAGTGAGCCTGATGCCGTGCACGTGGTGCTGGACCGCCACCTCGTCACGGGCCAGAATGCCGGCTCCACTGTCCCAGCCATGCACAACCTGCTCTTTCTCTGTGGCAGCCGGTGAGGAGCCGTGGACAGGGTGGCGGGCGGGATACTGGCTGCTGACCAGCCGTTTGCTGGAACCTGAGCCTTGACCTGACCTGTCCTACAGGAAGTGAGATGGCTTCCCGCCCGCCAGTGGACGCCGCCGCCTCTAGACCGCCCAGGTGTCCTTGGAGATGGCTGGATTCCTCAGGCCTCCAGGGACCCCGCCTCTGTGACAGCTCTGGAGAGTGACTTTCAGACACCCCAACCTGACCCGGTGGGATTGTTGGAGGCCCCCGAGAATCAGCCCTGCAGAGTGTCAGCTCTGGGGGAGGGGTCGACCTCCCAGCCCCCAGGCCATTTGCTTTCCTTGGGACGGAGCGGGGGGCTCAGGGCCATCAGGTGCTCACTGAGAATTTCATGTGAGCTTAGCACGGAGAGCTGGTCCAAATGAGTCGGCCGTGGGGGTCCTGGTGTGGGTCTTGGCCCCTGTGGTCTTCCTGCGCACTGCCGGCTGGCCCCTCCCCTCTGCCTGTCCCTGGCCACCCAGGCTGAGCCTCTCTGGTGGCACCAGGATCCCGTTTTGTGCGGTGAGGACTGCCCAGGCCTCTGTGCTGCCCCCCATTCCTCTGGGTGTCGGGGGAGCTGTGGTCTGGCCGCTGGAGCTGGCTCAGCACTTTCCACTTCCCAAGGCTGGGGGGCGGGGGGGCTTGTGTTGGACGCAAGCTCCCGGCCCCCAGACCAGCCCCAGATCTCCCAGTGCTGAAGGAGCTGCCCTAATTTTAATCCTTGTCTGGTGTATGGTTTCATGGTGACACCACGTGAGGTCGTCGGTTCTGACGTTGAGAGAAACATGTTTAATCGGGTCTTCAGGAAGCCGCGCTGCTCACCCATAGCCCTGCCCGCGTGGCCTGTGGGTTTGTAGCTGCTCCAGGGCTTTCGAGGTAGACGTGACCAAAGCACGGGCCCTACTGGGCAAGAGGCCTGGGGAGCAGCCACCCTGGGTCTACATGTGGGGTGCCGGTCGGTCCCCACCACCCAGGCCTCGACAGGCCTGTGCTGGGGATGCTCCTTCCTGGCATGGCTGGATCACCCTCTGGTCCCGGGGACCAGCCTGGGCTGTGGCCCTTGGATGGGGCCTCCGGAAGCTGGGCAGCTCCTCTTACGGGCCCCACTTTTGCTTGTTCCCCACCCCGACTTGGCTTGTCTGGCTCTGCTGTATCCAACCCCTCAGAACAGAGGAGGAGGGAGGAGGCGAGGCCCCCCCCGAGTCCCTGGCTGCTCCCAGCACCATAGAGCGTGCAGAGATGCTCCCACCCTCTCGGTTGGATGTTTTCGGGGGGGACCGTATCAGGAACTCCTGACGCCATGGCCAGGCTGGCCGGCTCCACCGAGGCCTGGGCCCTACTCCCTGCCTCAGGTACCGCCACAGGGTGATCGATGTCTCTGGGCAAAAGCTTTTTTACAGATCACGCCTTCTGGGCTCCATCTGTGTGATCTGCGAAGAGCTAATAACACTTGCCAAGATCGGCCGGACTACTCCAGGGTTCCACATCAGGGTGCAGGGCGGGCGCCCTGGGTGGCCGTGGCGGCGCGCTCCTGGCTTTGCCAGGTGCGGGGCACAGGGCTGGGGCAGCCTTCAGGCTTAGAGAGGGTGCGGACACTGCAGGCTGGCTGCCGCTCTGGGATGTCCCCACGTGCCGTCCGCCCACCAGAAATAACCAACAGCCCTACAGGAGTGACCCCCGAGTGTCGCGGCATCATCCACGGTAACAAACACTTTAAGCAAATCGTAGTTTCCCTGAGTGTTTACCAGACAATGCTAATATCCGCGTGGTAGAAGGTGACTTGGCCAGGGAAAAGAATAAAGTCCTGGTAACATTGCACAGACTGAACCTTGACCACATCCTGCAAAGAAGCCAGACCTCGGGGGTGTGTGTGTGTGTGTGTGTGTGTGTGTGTGTGTGTCCATTTACACGAAATAGCCAGAAAATGCAGTGACAGTAGTCAGGGGGCAGGGGGTGCAAATGAACAGGACGCCTTTCAGGGTGACGAGAATGTTCTAAGGCTAGGGGGTCGGGGTGCATGGCCGGCTCAGTTGGTAAGCACGCAACTCCACCTTGGGGTGGATTTGTGCCCCACATGGGGTGTAGAGACTGTTTCAAACACTAACGTCTTTAAACCAAATAGCCAGTCTCTGTGGTCTGCAGGTCTCTATTAAAATCCACAGCTTGTACATGTGAGCGGGTGGGTGGGCTTGATGTGTTTTAGCTGCGTCCAGTCACATGTGTGCATGCATCCTGGGGCGTAGTCTGTTGACCAGCTGGCCGCCTGCCTGCCCATCAGCTAAGGGCTGGGACGTAGCCAGAGAGGCACAAAGCCCTGCCCAGCGCTTGGACACCCAGCTGCCCCCTGCACGCCCTAGGGGGGTGCTCTCAGCATAGGCTGGACCTGCTGGGGCTAGGCTTGTGTGCTCTTGGTGGGTCCTCTCCCCAAGACCCGGCATTGTGTGCTGTGCTGTTCCTGCCCTTGGGCAGGTAGCCGAGGGGCCGCTCCAGAAGCAGCCGCCAGCCTGGGTGCTCTGACCCCGACACAGGATGCTCCTGGCATCCCTGCAGAAAGCTGTGCAGAGCAGTCCCTTAGTGGGACCCGGGGCAATGTCTGACCAGGGCTGTCCCTGACACCTGGCACCACCTGCACAGACCTGAGGTGGCCGGCCCGGTGTCCTCCATCCCTGCAGGCTGCTCTGTTCCAGGAACAGGCTAGTCCCCGGGGGGGTGGGAGGGGCTACCCCATGGACCGCCATCGCTGCCCCCACCAAGCCCTTCCCCGTGCAGCAGGTCACGAGCAGAAGCTGCTCCAGAGCCTGTGCACACCAAACCGTCCCGAGGAGGCCCCACTGCTCCACACGGGAGCTGAGCAACGGGTGGCCTGGCTGGAGCTGTTCCTCCATCTGCAGGCACCTACACCCCAGGGAGGCCCCCTGGGAGCCCCTGCCCACAACCAAAGTCCAAGGACTCCCAGGCTCCCGGCGTGCTGCCCAGCAGAGGCTCATGGCTGAGGTGAGGGACCGTCCCTGCCTGTGCCACCCTAGCTGGAGCCACGTCAGAGCCAAAGCCTGGGGCAGCTGGTGCCAAGGGGGAAGGGACTGGAGCCAGAAAGAGGAATGTAGCACAATTAAAGTGACTGCTTTAATTAATTAGGCAAAATTTTACATAGAATCTATGATCCATCCCTGCCCTAACTGGTAAAAAATGCAAAATTCCCAAGGCATATGCAATCAGCCCCAATTCAGATGGCACAGGTCTGCGGTCCGGCTCAGGCGCGGTGCTATTTTCCGTTCTCTGTGCTGAACATGCGATCCTAGAAGGGAGAGCGTGAGAGATGACAGGAAACTTGCCCACATGCCCCCCAGCCCCCGCCTCCTGCGCAGGAAGGGGTAAGGCCCACAGTCAGGGCTGCTGCAGATGGGGAGTCATGGCCTCCTTACAAGGGCGCCCACCAGTGGCTGGCCCGGAACCTGTGGGGCAGAGTCCAGGCACCCAGGGGAGCTGACACCCCCAGAGTCCCCCAGAACCTTCCAGCTCCGCCCCCAAGCCTGGGGCACTCACCATCAGCATCCGCTCGAGCTTCACGGCATCCGCGGCAAACTTCCGGATCCCGTCTGAGAGCTTCTCCACGGCCATCTGGTCCTCATTGTGCAGCCAGCGGAAGGCCTTTTCATCCAGGTGAATCTTCTCCAGGTTGCTGGCCTGGGCTGGGGAGGACAGGCACCGGGGCCTCCCACAGCCGCCCATTACCCCGCCCGCAGCCCCGCCTGTGCCACCCCCTTGGGGTCAGTGCTGCCCGGCATCTCTGGGCAGGGCCCCAGCGGGGCTCCCGCGACAAGCAGGACCCAGGCTGCCTCAGGCCAGTCCGTCGCCTACGCCCTCCGAGAGCAGGGTGAAGGTGGCCACAAGCCAAGGGCCAGACAGCTTACCCGCCTTGACTGACAGCACGGGGGCCAGCTTGCTGTTGTCCTTGAGCAGCTCCCCCAGGAGCTTGGGCGAGATGGTGAGGAAGTCGCAGCCTGCCAGCGCTTTGATCTCACCGGTGTTGCGGAAGGAGGCACCCATGACAATGGTCTTGTAGTCAAACTTCTTGTAGTAGTTGTAGATCTTGGTGACGCTCTTCACTCCTGGGGCGACACGCTGCGTTCCTGAGCAGCCTCCGGGACGCCGGTAGCGGTGCCCGCCCACGGCACAGCCCAGAGTTGCCGTTGCGTCCCCTCCACTCAGCGGAGCCCCTCACCCCGCTCCTTCAACGGGCTACTCACCAGGGTCCTCCAGGGGCTCGTAGGATTTCTTGTCGGTGTTGGCCACGTGCCAGTCGAGGATGCGCCCCACAAAGGGGGAGATGAGTGTCACTCCTGCCTCGGCGCAGGCCACGGCCTGGGCGAAGGAGAAGAGCAGCGTCATGTTGCAGTGGATGCCGTGCCGCTCCTCCAGCTCCCTGGGGGGACAGGGCAGGCTGAGCAAGGCTGGGCCCACAGGTCCACAGGCGGCACGGGCGCTCCTGTGGGTGCTGACAGACAGCCCCCCCGGCCCCCGGCCCGTTCGGTGGGGAAGCCGCTCGGGAGTCCCTCAACGCAAGCGGGCCGCCCCTCCCCCACAGCACAGGTGCAACACTCACCAGGGGGCCCTCTGCCTGGTGGGCTACGGTGACAGGAATTTTCTCCATCAAACCCACATTTCCAAACAGGAACAAAGGCAAGAGAGGCTCCCTGAGAGCCACAGTGGGTCTCCCTGGCCCGGACACGTGCACCTGCACCTGGGACCCCGGGCCCCTGGCGCATCACAGAGCTTGCCTGGGCCGGAGACCGCGGAGTCCCCTCTGACCGCAGGGCCGTCCTGCCCTCTGTCCCACCCCCCACCCGCCCCCCAATCCACCGGACGTCCTGGGGTTGAGCCCTGAGGGTAGGGCAGTGCCCACACGGTCACGTGCCAGGGAGTGGGCTGTGACGGCTGAGCCTGCGCTCAGGCCCCTCTGGCCGTGTTTCTCCCCTACCCCCAGGGACAGCTTCAGAGGGGCCTGCACCCTGTGGCCACCTGGCGGTGTTAACGAAGCACGGCTGCAGAGAATGAGGACTCGGTGGCGGTGGTGGCACAGGCCCGGGAACCCCGCAGGGGCTAGCCTCTCCCAGGGCCTGCATGCCCGGTGCGGGTGCCTGTAGCTCAGGCTGGCCTGCGGGGGGCCTCAACAAGACCCAGCAACTGCGCCGGTCTGACCGGACTGGCGAAACACAGTGCGTTTTTGGAAGCAGCCAATGGGGCGCGCCAGGAAGGTGACTTTACCAAGTGTGAGATGGAAGACAGACAGGGGGAAACAGCCTAGGAGAGGAAATTCACCCAGGACGAGACCGTCCGTCCCACCGTCAGCACTGGCATGTCGCGAGACAAAGCTGCACAAGCCATGAGACAGATCTGGCCGCGAGCAATCCCTGCAGAGAGCTTAGAGCTCATCTGGAAGCAGCCAGTCCTGCGCCGCCGTGAGCTCCCGCAACCACGAGGGCCGCTTAGCCACGCCTCCAAGCAGAGACGCGTCCCCAGCCACCCTTCCCGCCCCACTCCACCTCGCAGGCTGAAGCACGCTTGTGCTGACCCTGCTGCAGGGGACGTTTGCAGCCTTATGAAATGTGTGGCCATGGCCCCGGGAGCAGCTTGGACACGCTCCGCCCCCTCTGATCTGGACCTCAGTTTAGCAGCGTGAGTGACCACGGGCGCCGATGCCTGAGACCTTGGCATGTGCAGCCTCCTCTAAGTTTCTGTTTTGTCAGCAGTTTCTCTTGAGCTTGGCTGCGCTACCCTGAGTTGCCCGCTCAAGGACTTAGGAGATTGTTGCTGGAGTGACCAGCTGACAGAGGGCTCCGGGGAAAGGGCGCTCGCTGGTGAGCAGGACCAGATGACTTGGTGTCAGTAATAATTTCTACAAGTCTCAGAACAATTTTCCAATCACTGCTGACAAAAATAAAAACTATCTGAGTAAACGGAAAAGGAGAGAAGGGCTACGGATGGCACCAGTGGGAACCAGCAGGTTGCCCGAGGAGTGGCAAAGCACGGAGGGACTGTCCCACGCAGCAGCCCCCCTCCCACAGAGGTGCCCACAGGAGCGAACACTGTGTGTTCGAGTGTCTGAACCTGTGCACGGGTGTTCACAGCAATACTACTCATGATGGCCCTGAAGGCGGAAATAACCATGTGTCCACGGAACGGTGAGTGGACACACAAAGTGTGGTGTGGACCCACTGGAACATTAGCCTTAGCAGGGATGCAGCCCTGAACGCGCCACCACGTGAGGGAAGCCAGACACAAAAGGCCACATGTCAGGAGATTCTACTGACGTGAAAGAGCGGACCAGCAAAGCCAGAGGAACAGAAGGTGGATGAGTGGCCGCAGGTGCTAAATGGGCCAAGTGAACACACGGTCCGAGCACGCATGAGGAGACGCCCTCGCTGACCGCTGTCCAGGTGTCAATGGTCTCTGGGCAAGAACACATGGAGGAATTCTCCGGTCTCTCCCGCTCCACACGTTTGGTTCCACGACAAGCTGGTTTTCATAACTGATACAGATGGGGGACGGGAGACTGGGGATCTCCCAGAGGCCTGGTTTGTCTCTGGACAGTGGTGACCTGGCCCCCCACACTGGCCCTCTCTGGACTGAGTGTCGAATGTGCCCACAGCCGCGCAGCCCCCAGCCCCGGAATGGAAGCAGAGCCCCCACCAGACCCCTCCTCACAGGGGATCCTTACTTTCCAGCCTGAATTCCTTCCCAGGTGGATGAGAGCTTTATAAGGATCCGGTCCTTGCTGATCCCGGCTTCCTTGTAGAGCTCGATGAGACGCCGGGCTCGGGCCACCA